TTGCGCTGTGTAGTCTGGTCGATGTTAACCAACGTTTCAGAGGTCATACTGCCGCCGTCATCAGGGCGATGAGTATGAAGATTTCCGTCTTCTGGGTTGTTGCGCTGTGGTTCAGATATGACTTCTGCTTGGTAAATTTTTCGCAACGCAGTGGATCCATCTAGTTTAGTATTAATGTTGATATGTTATCTGTCCACAAACACTTTTCACTTAATAAACATGAGCAGAACAGTGTGGTACTGGCATTGGATATTGCTTGAGATTCTTTTCAATGCACTTGTCAATCAGCAGTCACAAACACAAAGTCATGCGCCTGCCAATCTGTATTTAACGTTACCTCACAGGTAATATAAATAAATAACACGTACTTTGAAACATGCGCATTAAAACAATGGGTTTCCCGTCAAAGAAACCTGATTTGAAGTAGTCATGTTGGAACATAACTCCTTTTGTAGAAGAGTTTACAAACGTGGAGGAGTGACTGTCCCTGTACGACGTAACTAACAAGCTGCAGGTAGCCGACAAGCCCGCAACACAGCTATGCTTTCTGCATAACTACTTTGCTACGAGCCTGGTGGCATACTGTGAGGATGAATTGAGGCTAAGCCACGAGTCCACTGCTCCTCAGAGTGATAAATTTCCCTGGCTCTTAATTAGTGGAATATGGTTTATACTAAAGATAGGGAACACTAATGGTAAAAAATTAGACGTGTTCTCTCTCTGACCCACACAAGCCCAGGAACGAAATTGCTTTTTAATATTATCATCACGCCTTTTTTATGTCTACTCTTTTCTTTATCATCATTAATGTGGCTGTGCTGATTTTGTTGCCATCACAAGCCAGAGAGCAGGACTCATGCAATCTTTCTCTCTGGTGCTTCTTCGCCAACGTAAGTTCACCGGGTGTAGTGGATCCAAAAGCATTACTAATGGGTCCATCTCGAAAAATATTACACTACTGTTGTTTCTCCATGAAATGTGGACTTCGTCCAGATTGTATAACTTGTACGATCACGTTACGTCATATATTTTTACGTATTATTAATATGTAAGTTGTTTAACAACTGCTTTTCTTCGTTTGTATTTAAGAAATGTTATTTATATTTAGTCTTCCGTTTAATTGTATTTTCGGTCAGTTTTGTTATTGTAAAGGAAATGCTTTTAATTGCGTTCGTAGCGTGGAAGCCGTTAGCGCTCAACTCACATTCTGTTCTGTCCTACAGTTACTTCGACGTGAAGTGTCGATCAGTCACATGAGTTTTTCATTGTGCAAATTGATGCATGTTATTGACAGTTTTCCATTGTTTCTTTCTTAACATGGCTTGATAAATTGTATTGTTAACCATAAAAATTATTTTGCAGAAAATAATGTAAAAATTCACATCAATATTTTTATTAAAACCAAAATTAAAGTGGTTAAAAGGATTGTAACATGTTTACTTGTGTTCATAATATTTATCTTTCTGAAATCGTAATTACTTAATTACTATATCAGCCAGTTAGAATTTAATTTCATTATCGTAGTTTGCCCTCTCTCTATTTATTACGCGTAGTATGGTATACATTAGGACGAAGACGAAGGAAAATAAATTTTGTGGTTCTCGCGTCGACATGTTTTAACTGATAATATTTCTGGGTTGTAGCACAGTGTTGTTTTATAAGAGACGTTATCATTTCGGTGGAACGTACTGTCTTAGCTTTGAATTATCTCCTGGAACAACAAAGTCTTACTCTCCAAAATAAGTAGCAGTTAAAACGAAGGAAGTGTGTGTTCAGATGGGCTTTGTGTCAAGATGTTGTTTCTGTTACTGTGAAAGGTTGTATCTAAGAGGTACGTAATTCAGTTTGTTCAAGTTCAAACTCTCACGCTTGGTGTGGGATTTCAGTTCTCTGGTGAATAGTATTGTTCTATTGTAGATAGGAAACAGTAAGGACAGAGTCTCCTGGTGCAGTTCAACAAAGCCTTCCTGAACATTATTCTAGGAGTTGGAACTACGACAGCTCAAACTGCACGAGCTTAAAAATAGACTGTCACCACTTTACAAATTTTCTTGGCTTCTTTTCTTAGTAGTAATGGAAATTACGTCAAACCGGTTTCCATATGAGTGCATATAAACTGTAATAATAATTTACATTAATTCCAAAGAGTACAGAAATGGGCTCTCCAGTATTAAATAATCTTATAATTTTATGGCAGTGGACACGCGGTCTGAGGCATTGGACCTCGTGCGCCTGGCCGCTGGGACCGTGGGTTCGAGTCCCACTCAAGGCATGGATGTTTGTCCGCTCCTTTCTGTGTTTGTATAGGTAGAGGCCTTGCGTCTGGCTGATCACTCATCCAAGGAGTCCTACCGTTGTCCAAACAGATCAATAAAATAAAGAGAAAGACAGAAAAATAATTTTATGTGCTTCGCGAAAATATATGAATACACTCATTAGCATCACAGTAGCTACTCATCAGTGCGTAAACAGTTAGCACGCGAATTTTATCAATCTTTTACATGTTTATTTTTAAAATGTAATTGAAATTATGCTTTTTACTACATATTACTAGTTATTAATGAACATAACCTATATTTAATTAAAAGCAAAATATGTCGCAAATGATTGATATATCTTACCTTGCTTCATTTTCTGAGATTTTTTAGTAATTGTTCAATTTATTTTAAAGATTGTTACTTAAAAATATGACATATTATAATTAATTTTCGTCTTAACGGATAGAAATATTTTAACACATAACAGTCTTTATCAAAATAGTTTATAAAATTAATCTCTTATCGGCATATTAATTGATGTATATAACTTAAAGTACTTCATAAAATAATTTCCAGTTGTTCTAGCTTTATCCGTAAATTTTAAAACTGTTATTTTATAATGATGATTTATTGTTAGAATATTTTACCTAATTTTTTAAATAGTTCACTGTTACACCGGCACCTTCACAGCTTATCTCTAGAAGAGCAACATTGTGTCCGAGAATTTAAACACATTCGTCTATGGGTACTTCTAGTACAGAAATCTTATTGCATTTAATTTAACGTATCCTATTTGGAGGAACACAAGATACCTTGAGAGAGAAATAGCAGTTTTCATCTGAGTGATAGAATTACTACTCAAATAATGATTAAAAGATGTAACCACATTTCTTGCCTTATTACTTCATACGTCACTGCAAATGCAAGATATGCTTTTTCGGTTAAAACTTTGGCACGTAAGCACCAAGTTAGAATTTGAGAACCTGGAGTAATTGAGGAATGTGTTAATTTCTTAAACAAAATATTACAGAAGATGGCTGTGTTCTGGGTTGCGCCGTTTAGTCTAGTAAAAGTTTACAGACGTTTTAAATGTTCTTGCTGCCTCCATTATCAGGGCTATGATTCACTCATAAATTTTATGGTCCGGTCAAAATTGAACCAAGGTTTATTTAACGGCATTTTCTTAACTACATAAGTTACGCTGTTTGTTTCGAATAGGAGAATTGTGTGAATAAAATGTGGGAAGACTGTGGAAGAAGACGGACGTGCACTTTTTTTTAAAAAATGCTGTCTCTGAATTTGGCTTTGGGAGCCTTGATCATTTTTGCCGGCCTCTGAGGCCTCCCGAATATAAAGTAGGAGATTTAGGCCACAGATGCTTCCTCTCCAAAATTTGCTATTCATAAATCATCATGCATTTGGACGCTACATAACTTATGCATTCGAAGGATGTTAAACGAGATCAAGTCTACTGCATTGTACGTCAGTGACTGTAATTCTGGATTTGTGTAGGTAAGCCGCTTTGATTCTTCACTGTCTTCCATCTCAATAGACTATTGTCAAATATCCATCTCCTACACGATTTACCTTTTTTTTCATTCATATTTGTGGTACTATTTGTCGTCTGGTTATTTATTCGGTCAATTCCGTTTCACCAAAAAGATTGCTGTTATCGCGAATTATACTTACCTTGTATTTGAACTAGTTACAGAACCGTATTAATGCAGTGAAATTTAAATCTATTGATGTTCTGCTTCCACTGTTCGGCAGACGGCATGAGACTGTTGTTAGCTTAATATCCTCTTGAAACACTGTGTTCTCTGCCTTTGTAATTAACATTTAATTTCGTAAATTATTAACCTTACGTCCCTTGTGAAATCTTGTTGGTGTGTGACCGCTTACTTTGTTGATTGGTGCCTCCTCTGAGGTCACACTCCGTTGCTAATATCCCTAGCTTCTGAACTGCGTTCTGAGGCGTCTGTAGTTTACATAATGTAGTCACTGTAGTATATGCAGAAGATATAGGCCTAATCATGTAATTCCTTTATAATTCTGCGTTGTGTAGCACTATAGTAAAAACGATTCTTAGATTTCCAAATCTGCTTTATACTAATTATAAGTTTCTTGGTTAACAAATGTTGTTTGATAATATGATACTGTGTTTAGTTTGTCTTCTTTAGAAACTTTGTAAAGTATTTAGATAGTATTATTATATCCTAAAAACTCACATAGTAGAAAAATTATGATTTTTTGAATTCTAGGAAATGCTTGACCGTATTCAGAGACCGAGGAATATTGTTTAAAAACTTCCGCCTTAAAATAAAATACAACACATTTCGTTCAAAACGTCTTGCGTTCTTAAAAGTCACAATTTCTTTTACCATTGGGAACTTTGGCCTATACATAAACACCCCATGTGGTGGGCAATTCAAATTGACGCTACAGACTCTGTGTGAAGATGAATAGTTAGGTTCACGCTCCGATTGCCTTGGGTCCAGCACAGGGGCCAAAGAAGATTTTGTCTTCAAGATTATCTGTGCGTGGCCTGTTTAAACATATAAACTAACACTTATGGCTCATGACACTTCCCGTGGCCAACAATAATTCCTGCTTTTCGCGCTGTTTCTGTGTCTCAAGGTATTGACCAACGGATTTCATGATGCAATGGAATCTTAACGTCGAATTTGAGTGTGTTTGCCTGTTCCACTTTCTAAAAAATCACCGAATTCGTTGATGTTTTAGAGCCAGACGGTGCAGCCTAACCAGAAAGGCGGCGTCATTATGAGCAACCAGGCGTTGGCACTGCAAGGGGTTCGACGCCAACAGGCAGGAAACTACAGCTGCATCGCTTCAAATGTGGAGGGTGATGGGGAGAGCAACACAGTGGAACTCCGCGTCATGTGTGAGTGTGTTAATGCTACGAAGCTAAGGACGTAGTGCGGTGGACTGACGTTGCTTAGATGCTTACGTTGTGTGCCGATGCCCTGTTGTCTCTACCGCGAAAAAGGCTTTGGTCAATATTGGCACGTTGGTAGAAATACGCGGGTATTTATTGTCTTAAGAAGTCGCAAGGAGTGAAGGGCAAAACAGGCGATTTTCACTAACTTATTTCACAATAAATAAGTAAATTGTTTAGTTTTATTTATTAGAGAATGCTTGTAATAAATATAATATTTATTCTCTGGTAAATGCAAAACCAATAAGAGGCGTCTTGTTTGTTTTCGACCGACTATCTGAAAAAAATAGAAGATAAAACTTCTGAGGTTTTAAGATTAACCTACTGACAAGACTTTTATAAATAACATGTACAGAACAAACAAAAGATGAAATTGAGTAAAACACAATATTATATATGCACAAATCTATTTATATATTCCAGAAAACGGTGTCATATAACAATTTTATTGCGCGGTTGTGATTGTTATAACAAAATTTATTTTCTTTAAGTTCGTACAGATACATACGTTGTCACTCGTTTTAGAGTAGCTTATAATAAAATCAAAATTTTAGTTCGATGTCAAAGTTAATGAATATATAACCTAAATAACTCTGTGGAGAGAAGTCCATGTTAGGTAGCTGATGTCCATTGAGATGGTCAAATATTTCTTCGCCATTATAGGAAGCTCGTGGTTTGTTATCATCTTTACAAAGATCTCTCCACTTTACCTAGTGTTTACTTAGATGAATTTTGGTGTACACCCTCACTCGTAATTAATTTGAGGTCTATTTAATATTATCCTCCCATTTATATCTACATCTGTGAAGAGATCGATTTCCTTCCGGTGTTCAAATAAAAATGTGGTACACATTTTATTCTGTCCCACACGACCCAGTGAGAATATTAGCTTTCAATTAAATTAATCAATTTTGATAATCTTAGGCCCTGTGAGTCTGTCTTTCCTTAAACACGTGGACTGCTGGCGTTACACCTACTGTATAGTCTCGTTCTTACAGTGTTTGCTACATAGGTGCCCCTTGATGAATTAACACTTACGTCACACTTTCAGAGTATGTGTAGTTAATCTACTTTATAATCCTGAATAAGCGTTTTTCAATTTGAGGCTCTAAAATAAAGAAATTGTGTGCATAATAATTGACAGTTTAAGTGTAATGCGTTGACGAAACGTAATCAAATATTTAATCACGTAATTGTATCTCTGTTTTATTTCATATAATTATATTTCGTAATACAATATAGGCACTTTAAAATTAACGTCAATTAGAAATACAAAAGTAAATGGTTTTTTGATTTTATGGTTAATATTACGCCGATAACAGCGTTTTGCAATGTGGAGTCATTTTACCAAATTCAGAACAATTTATACTTTTGAACGCTTCAATAGCATGAAATTATTTAGCCATCTGAAGCATGTCGCTCAAATAAATAATATTTAAAATTCATTTCCAGCATCATATAAACAGAATGCATCTCCATTACAAAGACCAGTTCATTAATGCTGTTCAGGGAAATGACAGATTTTCGTAAGAAACCCAAGAATACAATCTGGGCAATATTCAGTGTTGCTGAATGATAAAATTGGTGATACGCGCAGTAAACACTGTTTCAAAACATTAAAATACATATAAATTGTAAAAAGTAATTGTCATTGTCTTTTTAATTAATTGTTCTTGTTTATTTAATAAGAGCTTCAGTATCAAGTCGCAGATTATAAGCCACGTTTCATATATATAGTGCTGAGCCTGTTTTGTAATTTATATTTTGGGCTGTGCAATGTTAGGAAATACTTACAGACTGCCACGTATACGTATGTATTAATTTGGTAGGAGGGAGTTATTGGCTTTTGAGTAACAGTCTCCGTTCCAAATCCAGCACGGGATTACTTTGTGAATTACAATTGTAGGCTGACTGGAGACTGGATGTGTAGGCGAGGAGAGATTTTAAGCATAGTGAAATACCGTCACAATAGCCCTATGATTAAATCAATGTGTTGTGTTCGCAAGGATTTATTGTGCACAATGCCAGAGATATATCGTAATGAAGGGAAGCCCACAGTACGACCAGCGCTGCATTGAAAGCGTCTTGTCGACGTTATACCCTGTGTTCCTTACGTTTTTCACGTTGTGAACGTGGAGGATAATTTGCAAAAATGTTATAGTTTAATGTTAGAAACTAGATTTTGTGCTGCTGCTTAACTAAAAAGTAAACGTATTAGTTTCGATTTAAATTCGTAATGACTATAAACTTTTTTTGTAAAATATGTTTACAGGAATCTTCCTCATGAAATAAAATTTATTTTTCAATTATATAATTATTATAATTATACATAATTAAAGTAATTTAAATAAAATTAATTTTTAAACTCGTTCATGTCTATGGCTGAGTGTCTGTCTGTCGCAGTTTCCCCAGTAGGTAGTCAACCCACACGGCCGGCGGCATTTTTCTCCAACAGCCGGAACTGTGTTTCATTTGGTCACGTGTGGCTTTAGTGCAACAATAGCTTACGTAGCGTGGCGTGAAGAACACTTTTGGAATGCCACTGTACTTCAAATAGTACGCCTTTCCTGTCTTGTACATTTAATTGAAACGTTCGAGACAGTTGAAAGAAACGTTACGTTGCGTATTTTTTAATTACATTACACGTGGTTATAGTGAGATTTCTTTATCTTTCACAACCAAGTGATTTTTTTTTTCTTTTTAATAGACGGGATTCCAATGTTTTAATGCTTCGGAATAAACCCCAGGATTTTATGCTACTAAGAAGTCATGTGATAAGCCTTTGATAAAAAATATTAATTTTTAACACTTCTTTGCGATATATAGTATTGGCTTATTGCTATTAACAGACAGCGCTACTTTATGATGTTGTGTGACACGCAACACTAATTGTTATTCACAGACAAACCGATCTGTCGACCAGACCAGAAGCGTGTTTACGGAGTAGCACGGCATGAGAACGCTCATGTGGTGTGTGAGGTAGAGGCCTACCCATCTCCCGACAGTTTCAAATGGTCCTTCAATAACACAGCCGAGACGATCGACGTAGCTCAAGGCCTCTACAAAACTGCGGCTGCTAACGGTGGCTCAACAACCTCGCAGTCCATGCTGACGTATACGCCCATGACGGAACTTGACTACGGGACCGTCATGTGTTGGGCCAGCAATACTGCGGGCCAACAGAGAGAACCATGTGTCTTCCATGTTATTGCAGCAGGTACTGACTCTTGGCTCTCCTCGCGTAATGTTGGCGTCCGTATATACCTAGTGTAAAAAATACCAGATCCCATGAGGCAGGGGTTCTTAACCTTTTTCGATGGGGTACCACTAATTCTAACACATTAAATGTACCACTGACCAAATGCGTTCAGGGACAACTGTTATTTATGTTGATATTAACTTTTGATTTTCTTACTTAGTTCGCGTACCACTCAGTATCGGCTTACGTACCACACGTTGAGAAACGCTGTCATATGGGATCGATGCAATTACTTCTTCTGAATAAAATAAATACTGAATATCTTACTTAGTTTATGTACTGCTATGTTCTATATCAGGGATGTCCAAGCTTTTTCGCAGGAGGCCACTTGATCAAATATTGTATTATCGCGACTTCGAGGCCAGCCCTTTTTTAATATACGAGTATGCACCCAGTGTACACAAGTAGACTACTTTTGTATTTAAAAGTGGAAGATGTAAAATTAATATTTGTTCAATCAGCATTCGGCCCACGGGCCGTACTGTAGGGACAGCCGTGATTAAGAATACGTAAATCCAAACCCCTACGTCTTACCGTTATGATTCTTAATAACCACAAAGACAAGTTCACGTCCTATAAGTAAATTACTGTGTTATTAGTTATTACATAAGTAGTTAAATACTAATGTATTAACACTCAAAAACATACTAGGCTCGTTTCTCTTTTAGATTTACATTTTCTTTTCGGAAGCATTTACTATTTGTGACTCTCCTTAAATTAACACATATAATGTGTTGCTGAAAAATATTATTACAACGTGTAATACCCATCTACACATCTGAGGTCCATAATTATTAACTTAATAGCCTATCTGTTGGCCTAGCTGTGTATCATTAATTTGTACATTACTTAACAACGTCATCAGTAGCGCAGAGTAAACATCGTGTCGAGTGACAGGATTATTAATGAATGACGAATTTGAAGGATATGGAAAGAGGTGGTCGTGGTATAATTTTAAGCCAGTCCCTGACATTTCATGACTGAGAAAAACCACCAAAAGCCTCAGTCGGGATAGCTTGCCTCGTAGCCGAGTTTTGAACTTGGTACCTCCCGAATACAAAAGCTGTTCAATGCTTCGGTGTATAAATGTAAGCTTTTAATTCAAATTATGTGTCATCATATTGTTTACGGAGGGACTTGCCTTTAGATGGCCGACAAGAAGATTTATATTTCACCTGTATCTTCTTCTGCTTTTAATGTTTTTATTCTGTTGATAATTACGTTATAATTTTAGTTTGTAACTGTTACCTTCTAAAATTAACAGCCTTTTTAGGTTTCATATGGGTTGTAATACAAGTTCAGCGGTCCCTAAGCAGTTCCTGGTTTCGACTTTCCCCAGGCCACCCAGACACACCATTCAACTGTACTCTGCTTAACCAGACTACGGAGTCTTTGGAAGTGGAGTGCGTGGAGGGTTTCGATGGAGGCCAACCACAGTACTTCCTGCTTGAAATGTTCGACATGCAGACGGGCCAACTGCAAGCCAATGTCTCCTCCAAGTTCCCTGTGTTCAGCGTCAGCGGGCTTGGTCCTGGCATGGTGCTCAAGATGCTCGTCTACGCTGCTAATTCAAAAGGGAAGAGCGACCCAGTCGTCGTCGAGGGTTTCACTCTTAAAGTTGCCGAAAAGCAAACTGGTGAGTGTCAACATGGCTCACTTTTTTTTAAAAATTCGTTTTATGAAGACCAGAACTTGGCTCCGTAAGGACGTCTTTTTTTCGACATCATAATTAACAAAACTGTTTAAATTATCTTAAGACGTGATAATTAAAAATTAACATCAGAAGATGCGTCTCTGATTGTATCGAGATGGAAGTAGAATTGAATTGGTGTGTGGTCTAGGTCACATAATCAGAACACGTTGCATTCGTGCGTGGTTCAGTGACATTGACCCTCTCTTGGCGCAGGGACTCCGGTGCCTTTCGAACTGAACCCAGTCCTGGGAATTCTGATCGGGGTTGTAGCTGTGCTTCTGGTGGTCGCTATTATTATTGTCGGCGCTCTGCGTCTACGAGCTCAGAATAGAGGGAGTCCTGCTCGTCCCGGCGACCTGACGCTGAAAGAGAAAGCGGGGCTTCCGCTCCGTTCCGACGTGGAGGACCTTTACGAAATGGACGACAAAAATCCTGACGTCATACCCTGCAATAAAGGTAGGCTTGTGGTTTCTCATCTCAGAATAATATCGAGGGACTGTGGTATTAACGTTATGGAGGATGCTTTATAAGATCTGACTGAAGATATCACGGCGTTTGAAAGCAATGGAGTCATCTCGGGCGATCGGCCGTGTGAGAACAGAGTTAACATTCAGCGTTTCGGGGACATTCTTTGCCTCAATTCTCACACGACTAGACACCCGAAAACACTCGAAGCCTTGTTTTATTCCAGACTAAAAAGCCCACAACACTTCCGTAACAGAACTAATGAGCAGAATTAATCGGGGTGTACATAGTTTTGTTACTGGGATACGTACGCTGCTTGAGTAATTCCTCATCAGGAAACGCATAGAGGTATCACGAAAACGTAAATCTTGGTGACGAATATTGCAGAGTAAGGAACTCATAGGTCGTATATAGCCGTGGTGTTCCATTTAATTATAATTTTGTCATGGTTACGGACCTAGTTACAAGGTTAGTACATTAAGCGCGTAATTATATTTTTCGGAAATTGACTTTATATAATGTTAAGATTGACCATTATAGCGGGGAAATATTGACGGAGAGACATTAGCAGACGATAAAGTCAAATCAAATAATAAGGTGGCACAGTTCTCAAAATCACTTCTTCCATTATAAGGTCAATGTGATGTGAGCCATTTTTTTTCTTATATACATGTACGTGCCATAAAACTGCAGGAACGAAAAGGGATATTGCAATCTATTAGAGGTAATGGGTAGGGTAATAATAGCAGGATGCCCTGTGGGGATGGACAGTGAGATGGTGGGGTGAGAGGGTGTGGTAGCGTTGCGTATCGCATGTCGAAGTGATAGATCACTCTCAGCGTCCCCTGGCGTTCACGGAGACGCAGCCCACATCACAGCAGGGAGCCATTTCTTCTTTCTCCTTATATTGACGTGAGCGCAGATTGTAGCGTAATGATGATTTAGTCATTGCCGACTTAAGAAGCTGCGTGGATCGGATCAACCAGGGCGGCGGAACGCGGGGCAGTACCTAGGGATGACGCTTTTAAATCCTTAACGTACTGAAGCCGAAAGAGAGAGTTACGAAGAACAGCAGAAGATCAGAAGCATCAGCATGGTGGGGAGAAGTGAGAGACACTTCGTTTCTCGAGGCGGGAAACGTAGAAAGAGCATCTTGTTGTTAGAAGGTTCCCAGGCAATCTCCGCTCGTCCTTCCGATAAGAGCAGAGTAAGAGTGAAGTCGTGTGTGTATATGACATAACCAAAAAAGTTTTGGGTAAAAATTGTTTACAGTGGACTGCTGAATGGGTTCAAATTATCATCTCAAAATTTAATATAAAGGAAAAATTCCGCTGCCCGTGTTTTAACTTTTGAAACAGAAACTCATCTGAGTATTATTTAGAAACTCAGTCCGTACCGTGAAGAAAACACAAAGCGATCCCATTCCAAATATCAGTGGTTAATGCTGTTTAAGGACATAATACGTGTTTGTTATTTGATCGTACTAAATCCACAGGTTGCAATTGTTAAAGCAGGTGGTACATATAGTTACCTTTTCATTATAACGTATTACGAAACAGTGGTAACTCAATGTACTGCATGCTTTAACATTCAGTAACACCACATTTTTTCCATAGAGTGTACTCGTGTATTTACGTAATTCTCAGTATAAACAGCATTGTAATGATGCATTGTATTTTTTTCTCGGAGGTGGGACATGCATTAAAATGAAATATTATTTTGATGAAATTTGTGCTTCAAAGGATTAAAACTCCAGTTAACTAACACATAGCCTGCGGACCAAAAACCAAAGCTTATCTTCACTGCATCGTGTTATAACTCTTTGCACTGGGTTCATATTTCATAGCGTAAGATAGTATCTTGCTAGCTGCTCTGAGGTATCTTACGCCCTAGTATCTATGCTAGATAGCATGGAGCTTGTGGAAAATGGTGGTGCTTGGCGGACGAAAGTCGTAGTACACAGCCCACAAGAATCACTGTGATTAAATCTGATTGATACTGAAGAGTCAGCGACAGAACAGCTCTGATTTCGGTCGTCGTTAGCTGGTGGTGTTAGCGTTGCAATCTAAATCCACGGAACAGAGCCCTCCTTGAGAACCTAATCGTCGCTCAAGTAATTGAGTTTATCAACTTTTACGGAATCCGAATGTTCATTGCTGTGTTCAAAACAGCCCACGAGTTGTCCCTATTCTGAGTCACACGAATCCAATCCGATCTATCTTACCCTATAATATTAACGTTTATTTTAATAATATCTTTCCATCCATTCATAAAACTTCCAAACAGTCTCTCCCCTTTTAATTTTCAGACTTAACATTAGGATTTTGCATTTAATTTGTCCTCGTTACAAATTATTTTGTGTAATATTACGAAAGGCGAGTGGATTGCATGGGAAACAAAGGCAAGAAAACCTTTCTCTCGATATCTTTCAGTGCCTTGATTTCCGACGAAAGAATAACTAATAAGTGACTCACTTCATATAATTTAAATCTTTCTGAAAATAACAATTATACGAATCTCACAGAAACTACAACCTAGCTTTAATTCTAAAAGATATCCGTCAAATTAATTACTCAGTCGTAAATACAAAGCAGTTTTTTTTTTAATTTGCTTGTGATATTTCAGCGTCGCCCAAATTCTGCCCTAATTTTTTGTTTCAGAGACATTTCCCCCACTTATATAAGAATGAGTCACTCAGCAGTCATTTCAAAAGCATCCTCTTGTCCAACTTCTAACTTAATTATTCTGAAGAGAGTTTTCTTTCGCCCACGATTGTCAGCAATGAACAACAAAATCTACTTAACACTTAGTGTGCCAGCTTATTTATAACGGAGACTTTTAACTTCCGGTTTAATTGTAAATCTGTGATAAGCAAAGACACTAGCATTCATAATTAATGCACCGTCTACTTTTCAAGGGGACATACCGTGGACTGATTTCAGTAGATTTTCAAGTAATCATGCATGCTGGTTTCCAGTCATTATTACTGCCCTTTCTTATATCTTAAAAACCTTATTTACTCTATTTTAAGACGCCATCAATTGTAAGACGCAACCTTGACTTTGTAATAGGTTTTCAGGAAGAAATACGCTGTGTGGATTCTTAGACGCCAACAGGTTTGAGACGTGCCCCGATTTCAAAAAATTTAAAATGTGAAAAGTGGATCATAAAATCGAGGAAATATCATATTTAATTTAAAATGGTATTATAATATTCTCATTTAATTCACGACAGTGTTATGTGAATTATTAAATGATACTGAATTTTGTTTAAAACCTCTTGTGGGCGTTGATTTAGGCCGAAAGAGAGAAGAATAATTTGTTGCCAGTCTGTCTCTCTGTCTATATATTCAGTTTGCAGATCAGTCGTAATTGTGGCAACTGGTTTTCGGAACTTTACGTAAGAATTAATTCAACCAAATTTGGTGAATAAATCTAATGTCGTAATCATTCTTACGAACTTACGTTTCAAATTGCAATCTGTGATTCGTTGCCAAGAAAGTAAAGATGCAGTCCAGCGTTTACTTAAGTATGATTCTATGTACGAGGTGCGATCGGAAAGTTTTAAGACTGCGCGTATAAGAACCGACCCCAACTTCCTTTCTAAGCTCCGTGTGACTTCTTCCTCTTCCCAAAGATGAAAATTCAGCTAAAGGGAAGGAGATTTGAGACGATAGAAGAGATTCAGGCAGAATCGCAGATGGTGCTTGACAGGCTGACAAAGAAAGATTTCCAGGGATGCTTCCAGGCTTGGCAACGGCGCTGGGATCGTTGTGTTCACTCCCAGGGGAACTACTTCGAGGGTGATGGATGAATTTAATACCTGAGATAAGTGTACGGGGTTTTATACGCGCAGTCTGGAAACCTTCCGATCGCACCTCGTACATTATCGCACAGATTTCCAAATAATCGATTTCTTGAATGCATATTTATGAAGGCGTTAGTGTTTTAAATGATTTTAACGGCTTTACCTCCATTCTAAAAGAAACTAAATGCAGTTTATTAGTGAGCAGCCTGTACTGTCATGTTCTGTTCCTCTTCGATATTTAAGGAGTCCTCAATTTCTCCAGATCTTAATACAGATGGCTGGAATTTGCAACTAACGTTGTGATTACGTTGGCAGTGCTGCCTGTAATGTTATTATTCCACTGTAAGTTATGATGTCACAATGTAAGAATTTATGTAGTGCGCTTTCTCTCAAAAACATCGTAATAGAATGGTTGAATTCGTAAATTAACATTTTGAAGAACGATGCCCAGAAAGTTTATCTCGGAAGCACAGTCATTCGTTTGTGTGCAAGACTGTAAATACAGGTTGTTATTTCGTAGGTGTGTTGTTTGAATTTCGTGTGGTATGCCCATATCTTTCTGGGCGAAATTTGCAACTAAATTTTTATTGATGTAGGGAGTTCTGTAAACATATTTTAAATTAACAAACTTTTATAATATATTTTTATTGTTGATGTACACACAAAAATAAATAGTAAATGTTAATGGCTATAAAACAAATGGGAATTTCTCATGTGTGTGTCTATCGATATTTTCATATTATTTAAATGTGAATGTTCATCATGTATGATATTTTTGTTTTGCGTTCTCTACCTTTACAAATTTTAACGTACTTCATATTTTGTGTATGTGTATAATAAATATAAAGTACTGAATCCCGTAATCTACTATTGCGTAAATAAATTCAACCGGAAACCTCTATTCTAAAACAGGTCAGGTGGTTTTATTTAATTAAACCAAATCTCAATATATTTTCTTCCGTTAATTAAACAATACATCAAAGGGGGCATAGTTCGGTATTGTATAAATAATTGCAATTAAAAAAACAACTCAAATGTTTGCTGGGTACTGAGGTCAGAACGAATGCTTTATATATGGTAGCGTTAGCCGTTCATTTATTTAAGTATTTGTACAAATAACCTAGACGGAAGAGATCATTTGGAATCTGGAATCTGGTGCTCCCAGACGTGGAAATAATATTAAC